TTGGCCGTTATACCAAGAACGATCTGCTGAGAAAAGCCAAGCCAGACACGTAATATATGGCTTGTTTGCGAAAGAGATGGTGTGTAGTTGTGTACAAGGCATGCTGCGACTGTGCCTGTGGTGCTTCGCCTTTTCTTCGGCCTGAGAGGTATTGAAATCTACAAATTCTATTATTGTTGTTATCACTACTACGCTAGCTGGTCTAGAGGCCACGATGCTCAACAATGACAGTTGGCTTGAACAAGCGCCGAAGATGCGCCTGATTATTTTATCCGGATTCCTCACGGATCGCAACATCGGCATCAGCCTCGCATCGCTGGCTTCACCACCTCAAGAAATCCAAGGCGTGAAACAATGGTCAAAGCTAGGCCAAGCCACCACCCAAGAAAGAGGTCTTACCATGCTGCAGCCACCGAAGTCGCCCAACATTGAGCTTTGATGCGGTGATTATTGGCCCTGGTCTACCGCTCCATAGCGCTATTGGCTGGCTACCATGTACCGCGTGATCGTCTTGAGCGGTTTTGTGTATGAATGGTATGAGCTGCATGGATGAGCAATGGTATTGGCATCAACCCAAGACGGGGAAACTCCAGCTCTTGGAATCGATGGAGGCAAGCCCTGGCAACATGGGAATATAAGCATGCGATGTCGCTTGAGGTTCTTGCTAGAGTTGTTTTCAATCTCTTCATCCATATTCCTGTCTCTTGCTAGAGGCTTGTGAAGTGATCTTCGCCTAGCCTTGGGGAACCCAGGCTTAGACATCAAGCTCTATTGTACACGTCTAGTTTCCTGTCTTGGCCATGTCGGAGCCTGACAAGGAGATCAAGATCGAGTAAGCTACCATGTCTTATAGTGCAATGAGATAGGACGTAATGTACAATTCGAAATGTACTGACAATGTTTGTTTCAGACCAGCGGTAGTGGATGAGCACCACGAGCGCAAAGCCTCCATCTTCGATGATGAGCAGAAGCGTAAAGAGAGCGTCGCTCGTCTCACTGCTAATTTCGAGGGAGAGTAAGTGTTACCATAACGAACTGCCTGATCGCTATTCATCTGAACACCCTATACTGACAAGTCCAGAATCAAAAACCCACTCGTTGACATTTCGCGCGAGCAACTTATAGCCAACGTCCACGACTTCGCCACAGAACACCAATTGACTGACGTCGAACCGCTCCTTGTCAAAGGCGCCCTTCTTGCGCAGTCGCCCGCCCTCTTCGAGGAACTCGAAGAACTAGACGAAGCAGACCGTACGGCTGTCCGTGAGGAGATTACGCATCGATTCAAGTTACCGCGGACACTCTACTTTACCATCATCCTCAACTCCATCGCAGCTGCTATCCAGGGCTGGGACCAAACGGGATCTAATGGGGCTAATTTGACTTTTGGTCAGGCCTTGGGCATCCCAGATTCTGGCTCTGTGTGTGAGGCGGCGGGAACGTGTGAGAAGAATGGATGGATTATTGGGTTCGTAAATGCTTGTCCTTATATAGCTATTGCTGGTATGTATAGGAATTTTGACATGCTTGTTTGGCATACACTGACTTTGCATTTTCACTCCTGCAGTTTTCTGTGCCTGGATCTCTGGTAAGTTGCCGTCGCATTTCTACCTTCTCTTGCTGATGTATGTAGATCCGGTGAACGAACTCTGCGGCAGGCGTGGTACCATCTTCATCGCTGCCATCTTCTCACTTTTGGCACCCTTCGGTATGGGTCTGAGCCAGACGTGGGGTCAGCTTGCTGTGTGTCGCGTACTCCTTGGAGTCGGTATGGGACTCAAGGAAGTTACTGTGCCTGTTTTCTCGGCGGAAAACGTACCAGCTAGTGTGCGTGGTGGACTCGTCATGTCGTGGCAGATATGGTGAGAAATGTCCCTGCACCAACTGCATGTGAGACATACACTGACTTCGCACACGCACAACAGGACAGCCTTCGGAATCTTCCTAGGGACGGTCGCTAATCTAGCTGTTATGGTGAGTAATTGTAAGTCTACGTGTTGCGGTTACTGATGGAATATAGAATACTGGGGCAATTTCCTGGCGTCTGCAGTTTGGATCTGCTTTTATCCCTGCTGTACCTCTCTGCATTGGCATTTGGTTCGTACCCGAAAGTCCTCGGTGGCTCATGAAAAAGCGCAAATACGCCAAAGCGTATCGCTCCTTCCTCCGACTACGGAATACTCCTCTACAAGCTGCACGTGACCTCTACTACACCCACTGCTTGTTGGAGCAGGAAGAGGTCTTGATCCGTGAAGCTGGGATTAACCCCAAATCAAATTTCTTCACACGCTTCGTAGAGTTGTTCACTATTCCGCGCGTTCGTCGAGCGACGCAAGCTTCTGGTATTGTTATGATAGGGCAGCAGGTAAGCAAGTGGAGAAGAGCTTATACCAGAGATGGTAGCTGACAAAGATAGATGTGCGGTATCAACATCATCGCATTCTACAGCTCAACGATCTTCGCAGAGGGAGGAGCCACGAACAAGGAAGCTCTCATTGCGTCGTTTGGCTTCGGTCTTGTCAACTTCACTTTCGCGTGGCCTGCTGTCTGGACAATCGATACTTTCGGTCGCCGCGGACTGCTCCTGTTCACGTTTCCGAATATGTTCTGGACACTTCTCGTAGCTGGGATGTGCTACTACATCCCCAAGGATAGTGACGCGCATCTGGGTTTGATCGCCTTCTTCGTGTATCTCTTTGGTGCCTTCTACTCTCCTGGAATGGGACCAGTACCTTTCACATACTCAGCCGAGGTATTCCCGCTCTCCCATCGTGAAGTGGGAATGTCGTGGGCTGTGGCTACGAACAACTTCTGGGTACGTAACGAGGATTTACGAACTGCATGGTAGGACCCATACTGATTTGGTACACCAAAATCTAGGCAGCGGTCCTGTCGCTTACACTTCCTCGTATGCTCAAAGTTATGAAGCCTCAGGGAGTATTCGGCTTCTACGCCGGTATGAACGTTGTCGCTCTCATCATGATGTGAGTCGATATCCAACCCATTTTGCAAAACAGAGTACATCTGACAGACGACCAGCTTCTTGTGGTTACCTGAGACTAAACAACGAACACTCGAAGAGCTCGACTATGTCTTTGGTGTTCCCACGCGCACGCACATGAAATACCAGGCCGGTCAGAATCTACCTTGGTGGTTCAAGACGTACGTCCTCCGGCAAAAGGGTCTCTCCAAGCCTCAGCTGTATAAATTTGGCGATCAACGACCCCCTGTGAGCGTGACGGCGCAGATGAGCTACGCTTGGAATACGTACATTCTTCGCAAGAAGGGTCTGGCTAAGCCAGATGCCTATGTCAAGGCGTCGCCTCGCGGCGAGAAGCAGGTGTAGGTGGCTGTTGCTTAGAAGGTAGTGAGGGCTTTCGTAGGCTGGCGGTCGTGGTGGCATCAGATCTTGTCGTTCGTTAGTTTGATACCCTCGTGCTGGTTGTGGTCAGCGTTGTAGTTTGTCCCTGATACAACAATACACAAAGGAGTGAAGTGGAGGGTGTCGTCGGTATCCCCACTACTGAAAACACGCCAATCGTCATGCAGCCCCACAAAAACGCGCTGCTCAAGCGCGCCTGGATACTAGTGTCATCTGCTGTGACTTTCACATGCACTTGAGAAGCATGCAAACGGGTATCCGGGATGCGACGGCAAACGTCAAGGGCTGCCCTGACAGCGACTGCCTCGGCAGCTTGCCTCGACATGCAGGGAGCTAGCCACCAGCCAATGCACTGTACCCCCCAGCTCAGCCATGGCAGCAGTCGCCGTGAGGATGGGCCGATAGTCAGTAATCGTATAGCGCCAGGATCGCGAGACTCTGCGGATACACCTTCTTTCTTTTCTGTCCTTTGATTGAAGCTGACGATACCTTACCCCTTGGCTTTGTCGCCGGATCCGCTTCTCTCCGCCATCTTCCCCGCATCTCAGGCACGCCCTTATACAGCCTCTGCGCCGCCGCCGCCTCGCCAACACTTTCCCGTCCTTGTCGCAACATAGCACCGAGATTGCCTCAAGATTGTCCAAGATGCCAGTCTTTGATCTGAAGAAGAACCTCGTCTTCGTAATGGCACCCGTGCAGCCCTCAAAAGATGCGCATCAGCTAATGCGAAAGAGCAGTATGGCGCATATCACCGCGAGCCAACAAACGTCGCCATCCACATAGCATGCGTGCCTGTCCTGCTTGCGACAGGCATTCTCTTCGTACGTTGCCTAGTCTTCCTTCGCTGACCACTACTCACCCCTCAGGGCACAAACACACCCACCCTCCCCATCCGCCAACACCCCCTCCTAACCCGCCTCAACCTCCCCTTGAACCTAGGCACCATCGCTGCAGCTACCTACTCAGCTCTCTACCTCCTTCTCTCTCCCAACCTCGCTGGCGTGACCGTCACCCCCATAATCCTCGCCTTCGCATCCCTCTCCAACCGCCTCACGCAGCGTTACAACAAGACCAAAGTCAACAGTATTGCCGTCGCCGTCCACGTCGTAAGCTGGATACTGCAATTCGTTGGACATGGCAAGTTTGAAGGGCGCAAACCCGCACTGCTAGACAATTTGGTCCAGGCCCTGTTCCTGGCGCCCTTGTTCGTGTGGTATGAAGTGCTGTTCAAGATGGGCTTCTACAAAGGGTTGAAGAGGGAGGTAGAGCTTGGTGTTGAGGCCGAGATTGCAAAGTTGAAGGCGAAAAAGGCGGACAAGGGTAAGGGGATCGCACTCGACGATTCTGCGGACGCTATGGATGATGTTGTGGACGCTGTCCTTGATGAGGAAAAAGAGGGTAGTGATGAAATTTAGATGTGTGATGTGAACCCATGGTTCTGAGATACTTAGAGGATACCAAGAGAGTGCCAAATTATCGCATAACATACCAATCTTCTTCATCAGTCCCTTCGTCTTTTGGCCATACGCCAAGTGCTGTATATTTCTTGATACAAACACATACTATGCCACAGCCTCAGTCTGCCCAGTGTCTCATACGCTCGCTCGCCTAGCTTCATTCACTCAAAAGCTATCTTGAGAATGCTCTCGCGCTTCAGGACAGCAATAAGATCCTGTAGTGAAGATAATCAGCACATGTCATGTTCAGAAACACGTTAGTCTGTACCCAACTGGAAGAGAACCTTACCTTGAAAGGATCCTCATCTGACTCATCCACAGACGGCATCGTGATTTCTTGGGCTACCTCTTGTACATTGCTTGCACATATGAGGATTGCTCCTCCTCCTCCTGCTGCTCCTCCTCCTCCTCCTCCTCCTTCTTCTTCTTCTTCTTCTTCTTCTTCTTCTTCTTCTTCTTCTTCTTCTTCTTTCTCGTCGACTTCGATCTTGAACTTTCCTAGCTCAAAGGCGCGCTTTGCCGTATTATAGTTGACAAATAGGCGGAAGCGGTGATCGCCGACCTCGGGCCAGTATGTGAATGAGAAAGAAGTGGACTTCACGAAGCTGAAGACATGATCTCGAGCTGCGTTGAGGGAAGGGAATTTCGTCGGCCAGGGGGACACAAGCACAAGAAGGCGTTGTACGTCGAACTCGATGGCTTCTATGTTGGCACATCAGTATAGTTCAGAGGGTTCGACGGTAGATCGACCTACTCTTCATTGTGCCAAACCTTTCAATTGGCGCTTTTGACGTAGTAGCAGCCTTTTGGAGTTTGCGCTGTGGTTGCCGCCATCCTTTACCGGGTATATTCATGTCAAACCTGCCTGCTTCGAAAGCATGCCTGGCCGTATTGAAGTTGACATAGGCTCGGAACTTCTTCTCTTCCACACCTTCGAATTGCTCATACACGAACCGGGACCATCGTGCAACCCTGTCGACGTGAAGAACGGCATGCTGCACACTGAGGAAGCTTGACGGCCAATAAGGCACTAAGGGGAGCAGGCGTTTAATGTCGGCTTCGACGGCGGCTAGACCATGTACGTGTCGGTATCAGAAAACAAGGAGAGGACCAGGCATACATACTCCTTAAAGCTCTTGGATCAGCTAACTCGACCTTTAGATAGAACTCCCCCTGCCCGAAAGCTTTGGCAGCTACTATGAAGCAGGCCCTATCTTTCACATACTCCATTTCGTCCTCTGTCATGTGCTTGCTAGTTATGTACTTGAGGTCAGCTTTCTCGCAGGCAGCATCAACATATGCTTTTGCTTCCTCGATATCGTAGAAGTGTGTGGGATAGGTGTGGATAATAGCTTCTGCTTTGGCGGCGGCTAAGAAGACGACCCCTGGGAGTATTAATGGAACACTTTTTGTACGTGTGAGAAGGAGCGTTGGAACCTTTGAGATGCTCGTTCTTCGGCATGGTGAGGTTTTTGCACGTTTTGGTTTGGTGTTGTCTTGTGAACGGCAGGTTGAAGTGCGAGCTGCAACAGATTCAGGTGTTGATGAGAAAGATTAGAAGGACCACGAGATTGTTGAAGTATGATGCATTCTGATTTCAAACGACTCCGATCTTACAAACGCGCGCGTAGCTCAGCCCAAGGTACCAAGACGGATATGTTGCGCAGCCATTTGCCCCAACGAGCGAAGGCTTCCGATACAAACAGACAAGTCGAAAGCCCACTGACGTCCCGCAACTCCGGTGCCAATTAGACTCCTCGTGAACGACGTATCTGAGTCCCAGCCAAGACTGCTCTGCATATGTACATTTGCGAGGCCATGCATGTACAACAATGCACCCCCAGCTGCGTGCTCCATCAAGATATTGTAACGAAAACTTTTGTAGTAGTACAATTTAGGCATCTCTCATATCTGCCTTTACTCCTCTTCGTCACTCTCGTCATCGTCCATCTTATACAAGAAGTACTGTACAAACACACCAGCATCCAACAACAACGTGCCAAAGCTGCCCAATAACCAGCTCATGTTGACCGCAATGTACTTGCCGTACTCAGCACGTCCCTCTCCACCCTGGCAGACATGACCCCCACACTTGGGCTTGTAGACCAGGATGCTCAACACATATGTCAAGTTACCTAAGCAAGCAAACAGGAAGAATAGCATGCTGATGCCCTCGGTAGACTTGCGGCGGTAGTTAAGCAGGAGCTGTGGGACACGAGAGCCAAGGTAGAGTGCGGCGCAAACGTAGCCGGAGATCTGGCCCCAAAGGTTGAAGTGCAGTGTTGATTCGGGTGACGAGTCCTGGTCATCTGGCTGATTGGGAGCGGTGGAGTTCCGGGCACTGAGATACCAACCGAAGACTCCGGCCGCACATACAAGAACGATGGTACCAAGGTTGAAGATGATTGTTTGCAGGCTGGACTGGGCCGGCTGAGGTTTGGCTGCGACCGCGCCATTCTGGTGTGCAATAGTAGAGTCATCGTGGAGCGGTGTGACAGGCGAAAGGTGCGTGCCGTCAATAGAGAGGTATCGTTCGCGGAATGAGCCTTGTGAGTGGCTTGAGCCGCGTCTGTCGATGTCTGATATGCGCGGTCTCTGTACCTCGATCCCATTGCCGTTGCCGTTTGTATAGGGTGAGCCACTTGACTGCGGCCTACGGTGGGGAAGAAGCGGTGACTGCTCGCTAGCTTCACTATCCTCATCGGATTCATCCATCGGTTTCTTAAAATCATCGCGCAACGTAAAGCCCTTGTAGTAGAAGCACTGCAGCAATAGCACGATGTCGGCTAGCGTATAGTATACCGCCAAGATGGTCATCGTTGGCAGCACACCCTGCAGTACTGCACCTATGATGTTGAAGAAGTCCCCGAGAAGCCATATCACAATAAAGACTACCGAAAGGCCCTCTGCTGAGCTTCTCTTCCAGTTCTCAATTATCTGAGGTGAAAAAACCACTGTATACGGGTCAGCTCCGGCTTGCCGAGGTAACAATCATGTCAAAACAATACGGCGCAAGCGCGTCGCACAACGTATAGCTGTGCAGGAAGACGGAAAGTACATACCTATCCAGCATGCGATGCTGATGGAGCCAAATATCTGGCTGATGGCATCAATGTCCAATCGCAAGCCCTGCGATGGAGGAAACATCTTCGCTATGACGTAACACACCTATTCCCTAGCTCTTTCTCAGTCGCAAAAGCTCGCGGGTAACTCCAGAGACCCAAAGAAGCTACTTTAAAACACTTGCGATAGTGTTATTGATGAGAGCCAGCTACAAGCTTGCAGCTCCCTTCCCTGACGATGGGTTCCGGTGCGAATGTGCGGGAGCTGAACAAAGAAAGGCTGGCTATAGCTTCTCAGGTATGCAAGCGGCTCCGGGCCCAGCCACGTACGTATATAAAGGATGTTTGTCGAAGGAGGTTGGAGAAGGTGTTTGCTGAGTGGTCTCAGATGAAAGCAACGAATATGAGATGGAATCTAGAACACAATTGCTTGGATGACTGACATGTGGAAAATCTCGGGTGAGTACGTAATCTGGGGTTACAGGGATCAGCTTCTGCAGGAACCAGAACACGAGCAAGAGCCGCAGGATTTAAGCGAGCTGCGAACGTGCGCCGCACGCGATGATCTAAGCAGTGCCATGCTTCGATAATATCTTTTCCACAATTATGATCGTTAAGCCTTTATATGTCTATTCTGATATTGAGATAGCTTTGTATGGTTAAGATGCATTCCATCCAACTAACCAGTTCCCTCCCAGAATGCAGCCGCGCCCGCAAGATCATCAACGTTCAACAGGTCGACACCCTCGTCCCAAAGAATCCGCCATACCGCGTTCCTCGTGCCAATAGGATAGTCTGGCTGATTCCAGTACCTAGCCATGATTCCCTTCTCATGGGCCATGTCAAGTTGGCCCCTCAGAGTCTCTAGCTGCGTATCGTTGAACTCACGCTTACGCACTTCACCAAAGGATGATGCAAAATTGGTAGATGCAATCGGCGACTCGTTGGCTGTGAGATCTTGGTACTTGGAATCGTTGAGCTCCGCAAGTGGCGCATCAAAGAATACGTCACGCGGAGACGATGCGAGGACGTCAGAAAGTTGGGTGTTTCCAGTTCCAATGACGGTGACGGGGTTCTTGCGCAGAGTCGTGCCATCGTAGGTAGTCAGCCAGTCGCCGCTTCGCAGAGGTTCCAAGGCTTCGAGAACAGCAGGCCAGGTCTCGTCAGCAGCAGTCTTCAGGTCAATAAAGAAGTAAAGAGTCTGTCCGCTGGAGGTGTCGAATACGCCATTCTGCTCGCCAGGCTGCACAAATCGAGTGCTTGGGTTTTGGCGATGCAGAGTGTCAAGGATGGGCTCCAGATATAGAGACTGGAGAGTGCGCTTGTCGGTCAAGGCAGCGGGTTCATGACCGACCTTCAACGAATGAGCCGAGATTTCAACTGGATGCTATCGCAACGTATAAGGATCGAAATTACTTACATATAGTGTGCCGTTTAGTAGCCACACATCGGCTTCTGTTGATATGGCACCTTGACTTAATCCTGAGTAGAAGGGAACATCACGCCAGTAGTCGTTGTGGCTATGAAACGGCTTCGGGATTATCTCCCTGGTAAAATCGGTTGGATATGTGTATTTTTCACTCTTGTCGGTGTTTTCAAGAATGTTCTTCAGTGGCGTCTGCTGTCCGTATGGTGCTGCGCTGCAGAGCGCGGCGAGACTAGCGGTAAGAGAGAAGGAACGCATAGTGACAGCGACGCGACACAAACAACGTAGGGCGCGCAGTCAATACAAATGAACAATGCGGATGCTTTGTAGGATAAAGCGCAAGACCTTGAAAGCGATTGATGGGGACCAGCCGGTGGTTGATGAATGTTTGGATTGAAGCTTGTCAACGATGTCACAGGTGGAGATACCCGTGAACATCCGGCCAATCCGGACAAGTCACTCGGCCCGTGCCTGTATGACTTGCTTCTGGAGGTTCCCTCGCATGGCGACACGTGCGGAGAGAAGAATGATACCTGCCTTTTTCTCTTCTCGTGAGCCTTCATTAGGGGCAAGATGTCGAAGTTTTGCGATATCGGCTTGGTTGCTATGTGGCTGAAGCTCTTGTTGGGCATCACGCACTAGCCTGTTTTCTGGGAGCTGCTGCTTGTAGCATCGCTGGGATACCACCTGCGTTTCGCAGTCAGTGTCAATGCTACTTGGGTTGATTCTGTGTTTGCTACAGCTCGTTGAATGCCCAAGATATTAGTGATAGACACGTTGGCAAAAACGTTGCGTAGTCGTCCATGGACACCTAGGTAGGTCCAAGGGTCGTGCTGGAAGTGGAAACACGTTCGTGCATGCAAGGAAGAATCATGTGCATGACAGGCGCAAGCATTCTCTCTTGTTATCCTAGTCGAATGTTCTAATACGATATGGACTTGTATTAGAGTCTTTGAAGATTTGGTCGTGCAGTGCAAAACGCGATGTATTTGGCTGACAACACAAGCAGCGGAATGGGAGGCTCTCTGACAGGTTACCTACTACGCGCTCTTTTGTAGTAAACAAGAGTAGTACACAGCTGTTTACAAATACATCCTCATGATGTGAATCTTACTCGCATGCCCCTGGACCCACACTCCATTACCACAACTTGAAGTCCATTCGGTCCTTCAACCCTACCCGTATCTTCCTTCCAAGATCCAAGCTTCACACCATCCATTCCCCTGGTCCTCGTCGGAGTTATAGCGGCTTTTCTTTCCGTGTCACGGGTCCTTGGAAGAGATCCTGCACGATGTTAGTGCATTTTATAGAACGAGGGTCTTCGGTGGGGTCCACAGACGTGATTGGGCGGATGCGAGAGCCGTTTCAGATGCATCAGCCGCTGCAACCACGGTGAACTGTAGCCAAGTGAATGTGGTAGATCTTGTCGGCGTCTGCACCTACAGACCGCGCTACAAAAGTAACGAACGTCGTGGCTGGTATAGTAAAGGCGGTAGTCGGTGTGATTGAATCGTAGGTGCTGCCTAGGTACGTAAAGTTGCGCCGAGCAACAGTCCACGCGTCGAAATGGCTGCGGACGCGGCACGGATGAAAACAGGTTTGATCCATAGTACCTAGGTAGCCATCAACACCCAAACATTTGCCATATCATTAGTTAAGTTAATAGGATGCGGACAGATGTTGAACATTCACACGGGTGGAACAACTGAGTATGGTGATGATGATCTCCTGATAGAGAAGTTGGATTGATTGAGATAAGCAGGATGTCGCTAGATCCATCCAACACCGTATCGTGCATGCCATTGGCGAAAGCCAGATGTAAATTCCCAAACGCCACGCCTCCCGCTCTCATAGACAAAGAAATAGATCGTAATATGATCTCTGACAATGCATCGCTAATACAGATAGCGTCGCAGACGCTCGAATAGATAGTTGTGTATGACAATCAAGATGATTGTTATGAGCTGGTGGAGCTGACTGAGTCGGATGATGAAGCGCCGCTTCGTCGGCGTGCCGAGTCTGTAGCAGTGCTAAGCTGGCGCTTGGTGTGCTCGTGCATGATCCTGATCAAGGTTAGTGAATGTTGTGAGTCATGGTTAAGCATAGTAACATACCTTTGGTAGTCGGACATGGCTCGCTCAGGGTCGTTGAGGTCAAAGTTGTTGGCAAAGTTGTGTTGAGCACTCATGGGCTCTGAGAAGCCGTCTCCGGAGACGTAGACTTGCTGGCGGGACTCGGTCATGGCAGACATTGTTGATGAAGTTTGGTATGAAGATGTAGTGAAGTAGAGATAGTTTGAAGCTTAAGTAAGATAAGATGTGTACGGAGGGTGTACTGGAGATCGAGGATTTGTATGTGAATCGATAAGCAGGCTGATTGTGATGCGTTCTAGAGAATCAGCAAGCGGGGTGCGAACTATATACCCTCCTTCCGTCTCACAACGCACGCACAACACAGGCGGGCGGAACGACATGTCCCCCATCATGACCGCGCATGGCAAAAGATCGGCCCATGACTGTCGGGTCAAAGAAGTGATCCACCCTGGCCAGCGCGCTAGTGGGCCGCCATCTTCGAGGCTTACAATCACAGATCTACAGGGTCCTTCCCCATCTAGCCCTAGCAGGTATCTGCACCAATGACGAGGCGCCGATACAGACATCCCCGTTTTGAGCGGGTCAAGTACCTAGGGATCACGACGTTGCTTATGATGTCGGCAATGACGGCCACCCTGGAAAGCTGTTTAGGGGTCTTGTCTGGCAATAAGGCTGGCTGGCCATTCACAGCCCACGACAGCCGTACCGCGTTTGTTGAGTGGTGTAGCCGATTAAGGGTCAGGCGGTACACGGCTGCACCTGCGCAATGTCCTTGTTGAAAGCCACCGAGCGGCAATTTCGAATTTCCCATGTTGCATACTTGCTATTTCTCCCATGGTAGAGTCATCATATTCGGGGTGCCCGTATGAAGCTGTGCTGCCTCGCCCAGACTCCATGACGCAGCAGCTATGTCAAAAGTCGAACGGCACGGCTGTCTGCGCGCTTCGTGGAGCACAGAGTCCCCCAGCGACGTCAGACGCCGCCATGGCTCAACTTCGAAACCCGCATGCCACAAGAGATATGCGGCCCAGCAGAGTGAAAGATCCTCCCAGCTCCAGCGCCCCAAAGTTTCCGTGCGCCAAAGAACGTCATCTTGTCCAAGTTCGGCAAAGATAGGCCCGGGAATCCTGCATGGCTATGTATAAGCGGGCCTAGCGCCTCTTTCGCAAAAGCAGGGTCTCGCGCTACCGCACACCCGTTGCGTTCATAGCCTCCACTGTAACCGCTCCCGGGCAACATACTCTGGCTGAACATCGTCACTTCTGACGTTTGTCCGTGTTGGCTTCCTTTCAGCCTCAGACATCGTCATGCAGGGTCTTCGCGCTCCGCCGTGGTCACCAAAGACGCAGGTACCGTTGTGATGACGATGTCGTCTGACCACGCCCTCTACGCTGCAGCCTAGGGCGTATCCAAACCGACAGCCTCAGCCTGTGTCACGAGGCTGGAACCCTCTGGACTTGGCCGTATATTCTGGAACGCATCTCAAGGGAGATCCACGCCCTCGCTGTAAATCACACAGGCTAGATGTCTAGGCCTGTGATCATCACCCTATCCTCCAATGGAATTCGTGCAATTAATCTAAAGAATTTGGACAGAATTTGGACAGAATTTGTGTCCCACAGCAAGAGATCTTCATGCTGCATAATCTGCCTGTCAAATCAAAAGCTACTGCCTCTTTGACAGCATCGAGTCGAATATCCCAACCTCCTTGCGAAACACCCCTTCGATCGCTTCTCCAAATCCCCGATGCCGCTACCCTACGTCTAGACCACTCGTGCTGAATGCACATCTCCAAATCCTCAATCTCATCGCTGGGATTCTGCTCAACCTCGCCGTACATCGCAAGTTCGTGTCAGGATCGAAATGGACCACTTCGACCGCTCTAGTCCCTTTCCAACCGTGCTTGCGGAACGTCATGCCAACCCGCAGATCTTCATCCCCATTGACGGATGTGGTCACCCCACACCACGTCCTTCCCACCAAGGCAGCTCCCCGTCTAAAGGGCCCCGTTAGTCTGTTCGCTACGTTCTTGCGACGCTGCAGGGGGCTACGGCTGTTTACGCTTTTGTGGGTTATGATGTTACTCGTCGAGTCGAGGTCTGCATCAGCGATGAATGCTAATCCTCCAGTGGAACTGTCCCGAGGAGCCATGTCAATCCGGAACGTGTGCCGAGTCCATCGGCATCGGCACTGACTGACTGACGTTTCGAGTGGAGTTTGACGTTTTCTGAGTCGGATGCACGCGACTGACGCAAGAGGCCCTACCCACGTCACTCACAGAGCAACTACCACATTGCGAAAGTGCTCCAGATTCGTCCAATATTGCCTACAACTGTTCGAGACCCTTACCGGTCAATACAGCGCTGACCATCTTCTCGCTGCCCACATATGATGTCATGTCGCTTATTTCATTGAAAACGGTGGCAGGAAAACTGTTCTCGAAATAGATCGTCATCGAAAACGATCGACAAACACACCACCACATTTGACTGCCCCAGCAGACGTTCGTCATCAGGCGAGCTATCCGTTTCGCCTGAGCATCTTTAACGATGCAGACCCAAGTATGACATAGCTGCTCAGCTTTGAGGACAGGAAAGCCACTCAGACATGACATAATCGCACTTCTGCTGGATGCAGGATTCGTGAGCCAGGTGTAGCACGCCGATGCACCTAGCATCCTTCCGCAGGGGAGACTGCAAGCCACCAATTTGCTTTGCGCAACGCAAAGGTGGGTTTGCGCAAGCGTACAGGAGTGCTGATGACGCGCAGCGAGGAAATCCGAAGAACAATATGCGACAGGGTTACGGCCTGAGACGCTGCTTCACAGCTCCGTTCAACGACAATCAATGCACCAGATCTCGGTCATCGCAGTTGCACCAGTCTCATTACTCCCTGAGCGTCAAAGACCAGATACGGACTACGTACCACGGTGATAATCTGCGTAGAGACATTGTCGTACACACATCCTCACAATATCACAGAACGACTCGAGACGGCCAATCCTCTGGTACAATACCTTTATGTTGGCGTACCTTCCAGCGCCTGCGCCTTTAGCCCGCGATCTCTTCGGTTCTAGCATTCGCTCTTCCTGGTGAATCGCCTCGTCTCAACATCTCGTTGACAAAAGCCAGCCATCGACGTACCGCCGCTTGCCTCAATGAACCACAATACACAACACATCCTTTCTCAAGCTGCTTATACATGGATACCTAGTATACAGAGGTTGAGAAGCCAGCATCTTGGTAACATTGTAATGCGTAGGCCACAGTACAATGCGCATGCAATCTTGATCGAGACACCTGAGCCCCCTCGTTGTTAAAGAAGGCACCCTTGGTGATGTTGATAAAGGTACATGGACCCGGTATTCCTATAAACATAGTGCGAACCTTGCAGTGTGCTTTGTTTCTGCCTTCCGCCTTTCATCAAGTAACTACAAGCTTGTTTCCCTTCTTCTTCTTCTTCTTCTTCTTCTTCTTCTTCTTCTTCTTCTTCTTCTTCTTCTTCTTCTTCTTCTTCTTCTTCTTCTTCTTCTTCTTCTTCTTCTTCTTCTTCTTCTTCATCTCAAGCATCTCATCTTTCCACTTGCTCACTTCCTCTATCGCCTTCTTTGGCTCCATCTTGTGCATCAGCAAATAGCCTTGGACCTCCGCAGGCGAGAAGATCTTCTCGGGTAAGGCATCAGCAAAATGCTGTGCCATCTCCCCGAGCTTGCCTAGCTCGAGGGTGGCGGCAACGGATTTCTTGGGCAGGCAGATACCGAGGAGTTCGTGGGTTCCGACTGCATTTGCGGGTATTCCATTATCCATAGCGACCTCGGTCTCAGGGGTAATCTCAGATATGGCGGTGTCGGCGTTGAACATGCGCATGTACATGTCGCGGATCTGATCGCGCGTGGCGAGTGTGAAGCCGATCTGGAGATCAACGCGACCCGGTCGGGTTAAAGCGTCATCCAGCTTGTCTGGTGTATTGGTAGTCATGATGAGCACATGACCCTCATGGGAAGCGGCACCATCGATGACATTGAGCAGTCCACTTAGACTTATGGAGCCCAAACCTCCTCTTGAGACTTCTGTTGAAACTGGCTTATCCGTTGCTTCTGAAAGTGACTTTTCGGCTACGTTCGCCACTGCCTTATGCGCAGACTTTTTTGGAGATTCTGGAAGTGCGGGGTCCTTTACTGGCTCCTTCTGCTTCGCAAACCGGCTGAAGAGACTGAAGGGCAACCGAACTAGTATCAGAGGCCACGCAAGAATACTATGAGCTTTCGATGGTGTAATACCTGGCTTGTCCTGTGTTCCAATCTTGTGTGCCTCAAGAACAACTGTGGCATCATCGATAGCTAGAACGGGAGATGCAAGACCCTCACGCCGAATACCCGCAGCGTCGATGTCTTCAAGGAGAAGGAAACATCGACGAGGAAGTTCGTTGAGTAAGGAACTCAGCTCGGACTCGGTGATGCCGTCGTTGAGAGAGAGACAGTACACATCCAGACCGAATATGCCAGCTAGAGCAAAAGAAAGCGATGTTTTCCCTGTTCCTGGTGGCCCATGGAAGAGATAGCCACGGCGATGAGGGATACCACGTGCGGCATACCAACGCGCCGTGGCAGGGTTGAGATACTCGTTAATATCCGCAACGATCCTGCCTTTCTGTTGCTGGTCTAGAGCTACCGTGCTAAGTGGCCGTGACGAGCGTCTAGACTGACGTCTCCAGTACCGCTCCCCGCGACCGTTTTGATTTGGAGCTTGATAAATCGATGTAGTTGTACTTGCCTTGTTAAGACTCCACCTTTTGACGTAGATAAGCAGTTGCTTAATAGGCTCAGTTCCCCTCCCTCTGCAGCACAGTACAATCTGCTCATCGTAACTGTCTCTCCGTCCACCAGTCTGCTCCTTCTTGACACGCGCAAAACTAAACCATCGACCCTGGTGATAAAAGTTGTAGTCACCGAAACTGGGCTGATATACTGGTGGTATGTTGCCCGCCCACTTCACATTATTGAAAATTCCATATTCATCCAATCCGTCGTCACTATCATCTGCGTCTTCGACTCCGCGAACGTGGCGGGTAGCTGCAGTCAGACGTCTACTAGATGTCGGCATGTGCTGCACCGCTATCCAGCTCATGACGTGGTCGTACAGGATATCGGATTCGTCAA